TCTGTAGCTCAGTTGGTTAGAGCTCGACAACCGTCTCTCTGTAGCTCAGTTGGTTAGAGCTCGACAACTGTCTCTCTGTAGCTCAGCTGGTTAGAGCTCGACAACTGTCTCTCTGTAGCTCAGCTGGTTAGAGCTCGACAACTGTCTCTCTGTAGCTCAGCTGGTTAGAGCTCGACAACTGTCTCTCTGTAGCTCAGCTGGTTAGAGCTGGACAACTGTCTCTCTGTAGCTCAGCTGGTTAGAGCTCGACAACTGTCTCTCTGTAGCTCAGCTGGTTAGAGCTCGACAACTGTCTCTCTGTAGCTCAGTTGGTTAGAGCTGGACAACTGTCTCTCTGTAGCTCAGCTGGTTAGAGCTCGACAACTGTCTCTCTGTAGCTCAGCTGGTTAGAGCTCGACAACTGTCTCTCTGTAGCTCAGCTGGTTAGAGTTCGACAACTGTCTCTCTGTAGCTCAGTTGGTTAGAGCTCGACAACTGTCTCTCTGTAGCTCAGCTGGTTAGAGCTCAACAACTGTCTCTCTGTAGCTCAGTTGGTTAGAGCTCGACAACTGTCTCTCTGTAGCTCAGTTGGTTAGAGCTCGACAACCGTCTCTCTGTAGCTCAGTTGGTTAGAGCTCGACAACTGTCTCTCTGTAGCTCAGTTGGTTAGAGCTCGACAACTGTCTCTCTGTAGCTCAGTTGGTTAGAGCTCGACAACTGTCTTCTGTAGCTCAGTTGGTTAGAGCTCGACAACTGTCTCTCTGTAGCTCAGTTGGTTAGAGCTCGACAACTGTCTCTCTGTAGCTCAGTTGGTTAGAGCTCGACAACCGTCTCTCTGTAGCTCAGTTGGTTAGAGCTCGACAACTGTCTCTCTGTAGCTCAGTTGGTTAGAGCTTTACAATTGTCTCTCTGTAGCTCAGTTGGTTAGAGCTCTCGACAACTGTCTCTCTGTAGCTCAGCTGGTTAGAGCTTGACAACTGTCTCTCTGTAGCTCAGTTGGTTAGAGCTCTACAACTGTCTCTCTGTAGCTCAGTTGGTTAGAGCTCGACAACTGTCTCTCTGTAGCTCAGTTGGTTAGAGCTCGACAACTGTCTCTCTGTAGCTCAGTTGGTTAGAGCTCGACAACTGTTTCTCTGTAGCTCAGTTGGTTAAAGCTCGATAACTGTCTCTCTGTAGCTCAGTTGGTTAGAGCTCGACAACTGTCTCTCTGTAGCTCAGTTGGTTAGAGCTCGACAACTGGCCTTTGTAGCTCAGTTGGTTAGAGCTCGACAACTGTCTCTGTAGCTCAGTTGGTTAGAGCTTGACAACTGTCTCTCTGTAGCTCAGTTGGTTAGAGCTCGACAACTGTCTCTCTGTAGCTCAGTTGGTTAGAGCTCGACAACTGTCTCTCTGTAGCTCAGCTGGTTAGAGCTCGACAACTGTCTCTCTGTAGCTCAGTTGGTTAGAGCTCGACAACTGCCCTCTGTAGCTCAGTTGGTTAGAGCTCGACAACTGTCTCTCTGTAGCTCAGTTGGTTAGAGCTCGACAACTGTCTCTCTGTAGCTCAGTTGGTTAGAGCTAGACAACTGTCTCTCTGTAGCTCTGTTGGTTAGAGCTCGACAACTGTCTCTCTGTAGCTCAGTTGGTTAGAGCTCGACAACTGTCTCTGTAGCTCAGTTGGTTAGAGCTCGACAACAGTTGTAGCTCAGTTGGTTAGAGCTTGACAACTGTCTCTCTGTAGCTCAGTTGGTTAGAGCTTGACAACTATTTCTCTGTAGCTCAGTTGGTTAGAGCTTGACAACTGTCTCTCTGTAGCTCAGTTGGTTAGAGCTGACAACTGTCTCTCTGTAGCTGAGTTGGTTAGAGCTCGACAACTGTCTCTCTGTAGCTCAGTTGGTTAGAGCTTGACAACTATTTCTCTGTAGCTCAGTTGGTTAGAGCTTGACAACTATTTCTCTGTAGCTCAGTTGATTAGAGCTCGACAACTGTCTCTCTGTAGCTCAGTTGGTTAGAGCTTGACAACTATTTCTCTGTAGCTCAGTTGGTTAGAGCTTGACAACTGTCTCTCTGTAGCTCAGTTGGTTAGAGTTGACAACTGTCTCTCTGTAGCTGAGTTGGTTAGAGCTTGACAACTATTTCTCTGTAGCTCAGTTGGTTAGAGCTTGACAACTGTCTCTCTGTAGCTCAGTTGGTTAGAGCTGACAACTGTCTCTCTGTAGCTGAGTTGGTTAGAGCTCGACAACTGTCTCTCTGTAGCTCAGTTGGTTAGAGCTTGACAACTATTTCTCTGTAGCTCAGTTGGTTAGAGCTTGACAACTATTTCTCTGTAGCTCAGTTGATTAGAGCTCGACAACTGTCTCTCTGTAGCTCAGTTGGTTAGAGCTTGACAACTATTTCTCTGCAGCTCAGTTGATTAGAGCTTGACAACTATTTCTCTGTAGCTCAGTTGATTAGAGCTCTGCACCGGAATCGTACATTGTTACTGGGTAGGTCTAAAATGTATAAAATTTGTACTCAAAATTCCCATCTGCACAATACTTCGGAAATGTACTACTTTTTCATGATGAAATTAACTGACTACATTGCGTGCGGCAATTTCAAATATTCACCATGCAGCGATTTAAATCATCGCTTTTTATTTATCATTGGATCTTGACGAACTCCGTCAACAGAATGTCAAGTTGCTTGCTGAAAATGAATGTTTTCGAGCTTATTAAAAGCGACCACACAGCGGTACAAATTCTCATAAATACAATTAAATATCTCTTGTGGTCTCACTTGGTCTTTCTCTAAACTAGAGGGCTGGCCTGTTAGATTCTAATGAGAATATAGACCGTTACAGTATTGTTTGTGTCATATACAGGAATGTTCATCTGCTTAGAATGAAATATTCGAATTTTCACCCTTGCAATTATTTTTAATTTTCAAGCGTTACCATGCGGAATGTTTTGTCAACAACCTCGGAATCAGAACCAATGTTTTTTTCGTGGGATGCAGTTACCATGGTTATATAATTCGATTCCTTTTACTATTAAGGAGGAATTAAAAGCACTTTGGCACAGACTCTTGCGGAATTGGGTGCAATTGATGAATTTAACACCGACGCAGTTCCACATCGCATGTGGAGTTGTAGCCTACGGTGTAGACCCCAGCAGAGGCCAGTGCAGTTGTTGATTTGTGAAAAATTATAAATTGATTTGCGTCGAAATCTCATTGTCCATTGAACTACAATTCTATTCTTAGTTCCTGACACCTTGATATCATTTGTAAAGAATTGAAAATGATTACCCTTTCCGGACTTCATCTGAGTTGTAGGCGAGTGCATTAGTGCACCAATCTTTCACCTCAATTCCTGCAATCTACCGTTGACCGGTTGTCTGATTATAATTTCACCTCAGTCACGTGAGAGAAGATTTTCTTCAAGTAGTTTCCAGTCCTGTAGCAACAATGGATCATGAAAGATCGCTCTTTTCTGAACTCGAGGTAGAACTGTTTAGAACTGATAGTGGTATCTGTATGACGACACGACCCATTACAAAGAGATGAAGTCGTCATTAGCATCGGTCTAGAAAAAACTAGCCACATGAAATATTTGTGTTCCAAAATTAAAATAAACAATTTACATCTGTGTTTTATTGGGTTATCAATCAACTCAAACATAAAAGCATTTCATTAATATCGTATCGCTCGTATTTCTCGAGCCTCTAAGGTCGCCGTCGTTTCAGAGCAATTCTGAAATAATGATTCAATACGTTTCCGGAGAGTTAATGAACAGACAATCACCAATCTTTGTTTATATAGTCCGTATAGAACTAGAAGACATTTTTATGGGTCAGAATTTTTGTAGTTCAGAATTTTTTTAGGAAGTTTTTCTTCTTAATGGGACGAGATTGTCTGATCTTTATTTTTTATCTGATGCATTTACATCACGTATTTAAAGCAGTATCTCTCTAACGCAATTCCATCTCGAATTTCATATCTGATGCAATATCTTGATGAACAACAGATTTAGTTTTTTTCACTGCGGAAAATCAAGACAAACTTGTAATTTCTCGTCCAATTCTCATCAAAATTGAACCATTGAACCCAAAATTGAAATCATCCTGGCAAGATATACAAACAGTATCTCTGTTTTGTTTAATTGGGTTTTTTCGTAATTTAATTGTGTCGCTTTAATAGGATCTTGTGAAAAGAAAAGAAAAAAGAAAACGGAGCATAAACGCGGTTTTTTATGTCAATAAACTTCGTCAATAACCTTCCATGACCTAGGCAATTTTTATTAATTTCATATCGTACGATGTCAATTTAATAATCTGGCCACCATCAATCGTTTTCTGAACATGTGCCAACGTCATTGCTATTTAGACTAACTTGATTTAAGTATACCATGTGATATTAAATTGTTTGATAGACCGTTAAGTAATGCATTTTTTAAACCCACCATTAAATGAGCTAGAAGTACCAGGAGAAAAGCTGCTGTGTTTGATAGAATCAAACTGGAAGCACTCTTCTCACACGTGACTGAGGTGAAATTATAATGACACAGCTGTATGATGCGCGGAACTTGGTGCTGTGCCAGCGTTTGTGATGGTCATATACATTTGTATTTAGGCATTTGAACTGCACACAATAATGTACTTTGTAGCGCAAAAACGTTCAAGAGGGCTTATACAAACCGTTTAAGTACTCGTGTCCCGTCGGTCACCGCCAGCGCGTCGCTGATTCACTTCCAGACGAGATATCTGATCTGATGAAATTAGTGTTTTAGAGAGGCAGAAAGTGCGCGCGTTTATTTAATAGCGTTTTTGTTAATGTTAAAAGAATTAACATTAAAGAATTACAGGTTGACCACCATCTGCTGCTGTACGATAGTGCTTAGTGAAGCGCATTAATAAAGCAGTTATCGTGATTTGTACAATACATATATAATAATAATTAATTCACACGCATCATGTAAAATTTACAGTATTTACATTAGCGCACCTTAGTGTCATTTATTGCGCCTTGTAATGCGCATTTTGTTGACAAATTATCAATAACAACACCATATAAACAGCGCGATACGATTGCGTCATACAGGCTCGCGCGCCTTACGTTAATGAAATAATGTATAAACGCAGCAACATTTAAATGCGCAAAATGTATTTTGTTGTACATTTGCGCTAAACTTGGTGGTACCTTGGCTTTCCCCTGATTCCAATACCGCATCTCGTTTCACCTATGAACGCAAATAGAAAATGGTATGATTACAAACCGATGTGTTATTTTTTTAGATAACGATATCTCCTGTATACAGCTGCTGTTTTATACTATTAGAAACAATAAGTTTTATATAACACCTTATTAACGCCACAAAAACAGCTGCAACAAAAGGTATATTTGAAAATGTGGATTATTGTAAACAAATGACTTATTGTGCTGAACGTAAAGCATTAAATTTAACAGAGTAATGGTCCGTTATTCAGACGAGTTAATAAAGCTAATCTGGTGTACCATTACTAATCGCAATATAAAATGCATGATGTATATCAGCTAGTATAGAGTCTGAGCAATGGCTAGGGCCTATTGGGGAATTCATTTCTGCTCAGTAATTCTTCACTAAAACGAATGAAAGTTCTGGCTTCCTCACATGCTAATTAAGACGACGTTTACAAGGGAGACCAGACGAATTTGAAACCGCACGCAAATCGTTCGTTCCGGTTCCATTTGTGTACAAACGGCAATTCCTCCGCGTTTAAACGTCCCATGTGAACTCGAAGGCGAAATTGTGCAAATTTGAATATGATTTCGAACTCATTCAATCTCTTGTGAACAAAACCTAAAGCCCAGAGCGTTTTTTTAAGAAATTACAAAAAAGTCCCAGCTCATCTGAAAATCTTGCCTCATTCTTGGCGCAAGCAAAGGGCGCACTGCGGTAAATCCTCCAGTAATACATAGTTAAAAATGGCCTGCTAAGGCCCCTTCATATATCTTAAAGACGAATTTTTTTACAACGAACTTTATATACCTTGAATGCGACAATATTCTCTTGCGCCGAGCTTCTGTCTTCAACCGCGCACAGTAGACATGTCGGGAGAAGGAGAATTACAAAATATTTCATCATTGTTTAACTTAAACAAGACGAATATGGCATTGAAGTTTCGTATACTGTATCGATAACCTTTCGGCCGTATTCCTTTCGACTGCACTGTAAACGTATGCTGAGTAGAGAGGTGCGAGCATGTAGTTTTATATCTCAGCGTTGACATAGAGCACGCTCCGTTGTCATCAAGTGTTGACAGACCGTATGACCTTAGAAAGTGCTAATTTCCGATGTCTTACTCTGCAAATCTGCTTAGATTTCAAGTTGAAAACTTGAATTTTGGAATAGGTTCGGCTTAATATTTTTATATCTTTGTATTGTTTAAATTTTGATATTATCTATAATTATAATTATAATTAGGATTATTGTATAGAAAATAGTCGGGTATAATTACGGTAGATTCCGGTAGAATATTGTAATAGACACATACACGGTACATTAGCATCACCTTAGCCTGGTTAGGCTTAGTATTTATACATGAACTTGTGGTTAGCGGTCGACAACTGTCTCTCTGTAGCTCAGTTGGTTAGAGCTTGATAATTATCTCATCTCTCTGTAGCTCAGTTGGTTAGAGCTCGACAACTGTCTCTCTGTAGCTCAGTTGGTTAGAGCTTGACAACTGTCTCTCTGTAGCTCAGTTGGTTAGAGCTCGACAACTGTCTCTCTGTAGCTCAGTTGGTTAGAGCTCGACAACTGTCTCTCTGTAGCTCAGTTGGTTGGAGCTCGACAACTGTGTCTCTGTAGCTCAGTTGGTTAGAGCTCGACAACTGTCTCTCTGTAGCTCAGTTGGTTAGAGCTCGACAACTGTCTCTCTGTATCTCAGTTGGTTAGAGCTCGACAACTG